GGAGAGCTCAGGCTCAGATGTGTTGTCCCGTTAAGATGTGACGCTCACATGTGATGCTACAGTTGAGTGGCCTGTTTACATTCCCTGCCAGAGCTCACACGAACAGTCGCCACTTGGACAATGTACAAGAGGACAACAAGCATCCATGGTACCAAACCCCAGCAAGAGGAGGCCAGATCAGGAAGAAAGAGAGAGAGGGGGTAGATATAGGCCAGTGGGAAGAAAATCAGAAACAGAAAACAACTGGACAGTAAAAAAAATTAAAAACTAAACTTAAAAGGGATAATATTTTCACATCGTTGTTTCAGACAAAGTATGGGGTTGATTTCTTCATATTTCCTTCCTTCGTTTCTTAAATACCAAAATAAATTATTTTGATTTTGACCATAAAAGGATTTTACAGCACACCAGCAAACAATACCAGAGCCATGTTGGTCATGGAATTATTTCGCAACACTCTTGTTTTCAAACATGAGGATGTAGTTTTGTGCAGTTAGCAGGGAGCTTCTGTTTTTGTCAAGATAATGACATTTAAATATTTAACTTGCCCCACCACAGCTAACACAAACTAAACCAAACAGGACAAGAAATGCAAAACTTGATCATGGGAAGTAGATTGTAATCTGGGAAACTTAACATTCAATATAAGAGGCTGGTCCCACAGCTTAGAATCTTGTCCTTTTCACCTCTATGACCCAGATTAAAACCCAGAGTGATGGGATGAGTTTACGGTCATTGTAAGAGTCCTGAGTAATATCAGTTTGGGATAGTGACAATTCAGCGACTCTGGAGTACGAGTTCACAGCACAAAACTGCCCATAATTTAGCAGTAATTGCCTATTTCCCTCAGAGAGGCTACAGGCGTGGGCTGGTGTGAGAAAAGACTGTCTAACTGGTGCAGAGAGGGGGAAGGGGTGCTCAGTTGACTTCAGAGTTAAGGCAAATATAGAGAAAAGTATGGACTTTATTCTGCATCTGAGGTACTGATTCTGTATTGTATCGTTGAATTGTATTGTGCACTTAAAATACATGCCAAGCATTCAATAAGGTCTGTTTTACTGCATCATTATGACTGGATTCCCATAATATAAAGATAATACGTTAATCTCCAATGTAGAAAGGAATTATTAACAGAGACGTTTGTACTAAATAACAGGCAAAAACAAAAGCAAGTTTCCAAACCCTGGCAAAGGTGGTTTCGACACTACTAAACTACAACATAATTCAGAATAACTGGAAAGATATTTTCACTAAACCCACAGTCATTCAAAGGAATGGGAAAAAAGCAAGTGGTTCTACTTCTTCGGGGTCAGACACTGTTGTGAATGATTCTGCCGTACATATTCTCTGCAACACAACAGCAAGAAACTACAAATGCTGAATATACTTCATGCAAAGCGCATTGCATTGTCCCCAGTGAGCATGAATAGAACGTCTGAAGATTTGCAGACTGATGGAGCAGGCAAGGGATATGAAGCAGGCTGGTGTTTGCTGAGCTAACCCTCTCACACATTTTTGTTTCCATTTTAATTTTTAGCTTTCTAATTCAATGCTTAACGTACAGTTGAAGGTTTTATTCCTGACTTTTGTTTTTTCTCTCCTATGCATAGACTTTTTTTCCCTCACTTTTCCCTGACATTCTTTTGGTCCCTTATTTTGTTTTACTTCTTTCTTCACTGTCACTGGATTTTTAGCTGATATTTTCTCCACCGTTGTAGTGATTTATTTAGATATCTCAGGAGAACATGACATGGTTATTTCTTCCCTGGTCCTGCCTTACTCACTGCTCCATCCCCACCACCTAGCCTTCAGTCCACCTTTGGGGTCAAAGACTTGTATTTGGATTCACTTCTACTTCTTATCCCTAGGACTTGCCCAGTCTGATTCGCTTGGACTCTCTCCATATATCCTACTCTTTGGACTCAATAATCTTCTTTCTGTTCCCTGCATCACCATAAACACATCATCATAAACATCCCATAAAAATTCAAAAACAAAACTATGTTAAATGTTTTGCCAAAAAAAACACAGGGAATTAGGATTATAGTTACCTCAGTGATTGAACTGGAATCGGTTTAGTCTTGATGAACTGAATGGCCTCCTCCCATGCAGTAATTCTAGGTCAAACCTCAGATTCATTCCAACATTCCCTGCTCTGAGTTTGGGAAACTTATGTTTATTTGAGGGGCTCTGTGCCACCATTACAATCCAGCTGTGGAAAGCCAACACTGGTTGAAATTGGGTGATTTTTAAACCAATTCCAACACATTTAAGGGCAGTGATCTTAAGTTCCTGAATACCAAAGTGTTTATTTTTATATTGAGCGCAGTACAATACAATACCAACACAGCTAAAGTAATGCCACCTATTAAAACAAACACAACATTCCTGGGTTTTGACAGTTCTGATGCCAGCACCCGCAGTACTCTTATATGAATAATCATTAATCCTCCCATTTGATAAAACACCCTTTGTGTCAGCTGGATGACTCAAAGTGCTTCACAGGATTTATAGTAATCTGTGCATTTTGTAGATGAACAGAGCAGACAATTACACACACCAATATCACACAAACAGAAGTGAATGATCAATATTATCTGAGGGTAGTTGTCCAGGACACCAGAAGGAACACCCTTGAATTTTCGAATAGTGCCATGGGGTCTTTAACGTCCACCTGAACAGACAGGCAGGCCCTTGCTTTTACATCTCATCTAAAGGATGGCTCATCTTTGTACTATATAGGAGAATTCAGCCTAAACTGAGCGTGAACCCAAAACCTTCTTACCCAGAGTCGAGAGAGCAACCAGCTGAGCCAGGCTCCCAACATATGTTGTATAGGAAGTTAAAATACTGAGTCATTGAAGAATAAAACTCAAACAATGTGTTGCCGGTGTTACACAAGTAGACAGTGACTACGCTATTAGTAATGGCCACAAGATTAGCTGCATTCTTCCTGCAGTTTTCTAAATCCTAAACCTTTCAGATCTAAACTGCATGTTCCCCTGGGCAGCAACTTCTCAAGACGCCTGCTATCATGCCACACACTCCATCACTTCACTTGCAAGCTGTAAATTTTTTCATATTTCACACTGACGTAATCATGCTGTAAATTCTCTAGTGATCAGAATTAGATTTTCGAGGTCCAGACACTACTCTAGAGATGAGCAATCCAGTTTCCCAATCAGCCACTCTGCAGAGGTCACAGTCATGAATGTAAGTCAGAGACCTGGGTTTGATTCCCAGCTAGGCAAAACTTTTGGCAAGTTTTGTTACTCCACACTCCTGTTTACCTAGCAGTAAGTAGGAACCCAGTTGTTTGTCGATTAGTGGATCGCTTTTCCGGGGGTAATAATTACTTCAAAAATAATAATATGGCCACTTAATCTACGACTGCTTGTGGGACACTGTTTCCGCAATTGGCTACCTTGTTTTCCCCACAAAATGTACATTCAATTTACTTTACAGTCTATTCCGTGAAGCGCTTTGAGATATCCCGAAGACGTGATAAGGCGCTGTATCAAATGCAAGGATTATTATGATTATACCCACCCCCAGTGAATACCTTCACTGACTGCCAAGGACATTTTCAAAATGGGGTCCAGTCACTTCTGTAAAGACGTCTTGCATGACAGTGGTGACTCCTAAAGAGCCTCCTATTCCCAGGAGAATGACATTTTTTTNACAGCAATTGTGGTGCATGGGGGAAAGAGGGAATTAATTTTTTTGTTACTTCTAAGACAACCGAAACCAATGGGAATAAGCAACAGTCTCTTCTGGTTACTGCCTGGGAGGGTCCTATGCAAAGCGAATCTGGCTGGGTATGTTCAACCTAAGATCCAGTGGTCACCGGCCTATAGCTCAAAATTGTGCCTGATTCAGCAAATATTGTACCTTATATAGTCAAAAATAAATAATAATGTGAACATTATTGTTGTGCTTCACTGAGGGTTAAGACACACTGCTAGAATAGCAGAGAGGAAAGCTTTTCAATACTTGTAGAACATAACTACTATGGTAGTATGTCTGACCTTGGAGCGGGTAATGCTGACCTTCCTTGCTGAAATTAGAAAAATGTTTACACAAGTTCCCTTTGATAAGTAGAAGGATTGAACCACCTTGTTCCAAAAATATCAGTAAAATGAGTTATCATGCTCCACTAATGTTCTGTAATTCATCGAACCCAGGTTCATGCGAGTTAACAGAACACTTTAGGAAAAGGAAATTAATGTTTAAAGGCTGGCTGGGTAAACTCTGCCTGGAAACCAAATTATTTTGGTTCCCTACAGTATCACTAAACGAATATAAATTAGCATAGGATTGTTTCATTTCTCTTTTGATAGAATTATGGCAATAGGAAACAGATGTTTGAAAAATGTAAAGCACCAGGGCTTTAGTGGTGTGTAGTCAATTATTAACATAAATAACAGTATATTAATTAATACTAAGTAAAATGGTTGGTTTGGCAAACTTTTCGTGCTTCTACCTTAAATCAAGAAACCCTTCACTTAAAAAAGTTACATTTGATATCTGTATTTACACATGTCTCACACCGAACTGTGCTTGCCTACATACCATATTAATCTAGAGTCAAAGAAACACACATACTGTGCATTTTCTTTGGACAAATAAGGATGTTTTCCTACAAAACTATTATGGCGTGTAGAATTGGTCGGAAATGTCTGTCAATATATTTAGGGCTGTTTAGAGTGCCAACATTCCCCAAACATTTGATACGATGTCCAGATTAACAAGCAAAGACAAATGTCACTGTTGAACTCAATCGGCAAAGGAGTCTTTTCAAAGAAGATGTAATATGCCTCACCAATTCAGACTCACTCCTGTCACCGTCAGATCAAGTAACCCTGCTTATGAGCAACCTGTCATCTCTGCTCTGAAGAGCTTCCCTCACTGTCCATTCTTTAGAGCATCAACAGCAAAAATTCTACAACCAACTAAATAATCGGCTATTTTGTAATGCAATAACAGTGCTGAATACTCACCAAGGCATTACTGAAAAGCAAGCATAACCCAGGCACACCCTGGAATGCAAAAAGAGAAATGCATCTCGATTCTGATAGCAACTCCAAAGCAGTAACAACAATGACCTTCACTGGTGCCTTCAACACGTCCGTAGCAGATTATCACATTGCTATGCACAGCCTCTTCAACTTCTGTGTTTTTCAGTAAACCAAGTCCATGCAGGGCTAACCAGAGCAATTGTGTTTGCAATAAAAAATTGTCAACAAATTGGTTTTAGCAACAGGATTCTAAATAAAGATTCATAAATATTGAAACCTGATAATAATTGGATGTGGGTCATGCCAACCCGTAGGAATTCTGCTCTAATGAGATCTCCTTATGGGGGTGTTAAGAGCCGAGCTCCTGTAGGTCTCCATAACACACAGACGATTACCAGCAGGATTCAATATTCCAGAATCATTTCAAAATCTTGTTCCAAATACACTATCGCATTTTCAAACCTTATGGTTGAAAGTCAAACTCTTGCCAATTAAAACACAACAAAGGCTAATATTTTCTAAAACTGGAACAATGGGAAATACAACAGGGAAGCATATCTAAACTGAGACTTCCATGAGCAAGAATTGCGGTACTTCACTTCTGTTTATAAATATAAAGTGTGTTACAAAACAATTACTTTATATTACCTCAGTGTACAAATGGCCTCTTAAAAGGTGATGTTGCAGTTTGGTAAAGAAACATTTTAATGTTTATTCTGTTTGTTGCATTTATCCAATTCTGAGGTTTAAAGATGGTCAAAATATTATTGGATAGTTGAAAGGAAAATTTGGGATCAATAAAATTATTGTTCCAATATGGTTTTGAAACAATTTATAGCCGCAGCATTCTAGTTGTAGCAATCATATGCAGTCTTTTAAGTGGGGTGAACAAGCCAGCCTTTTAATTGTTCTGCACTGTCACATCCATTATAAAGAAATAAATGGAAGGTTTTGCAGCAAAATCCTGAGCAGCACTTCTTTCCAATGTGGAAGGCGCTTTATCAAATGCAATGATTGTCATTATAACACAAAGCTGCCCTTTTGACTTATGTTGTTGTTAATTTGTTGTTGTTATGTACAGCATTGTAACCTGCTCTCAATCCTGATAACCTGAAAACAAGGATAATAATAATAATAATCCTTGCATTTGATATAGCGATTTTCACGTCGGGAGGTCGTCCCAAAGCGCTTCACAGAATATACTGTAAAGTGAATTGACTGTATATTTGTGGGCGAACGCGGCAGCCAATTGTGTACAGCAATGTCCCACAAACAGTTGTGGATTGAAAATGACCAATTTATTATTGTTTTGGGTTTTTGGAGGGATTATTATTAGGCTCTGTGTGGAGTAAGGAAACTTGCCCAAGGTTTTGCCCTGCCTGGAATTGAACCCAGGTGTCTCGCTTGCAAAGCGAGTGGTCTAACCACTGAGCTGCAGGACTCCATAAGAGCAAAGATATGTGTACGAATCCTGAAACATCTCTGCTGGGAAAAAAAATAGCAGGATTGAAAGGATTTCTCTTAAAAGCACTAGCAGATACAATGGAATGGTCTAAATGTTTTTCTGTGCTATAAATTTCTGTTTCTATCTATCACCAAAATAGATAAGAGCGGTTTTCTTTTTTTTACAAATCAAGAATGCAGCTTTACTTCCCAACTGAATGGCACCCATTCACTTTAGATTCCAATGAACTCCATTTAATTACTTCCCATGATCATTGTTGTGTTGGTGAGGTGTTGCATTGTCCAAGCATTTTGGGCGAGGCACCTGGTATAAGATTACAATTAATGGTGGCAAGCCCCAGACACAATGAAGTGTGACTGTCTTATGTGTATTTACTTCAGCAACCAAAAACTGAATCAACATTGCCTTAATTGTATGACTAACCAATTCTAAAGATTACAGATATGTAAATGGCAGCAGTTGCTATGAATTTTTCTTATTTTAATTCATAGGTAAATAAGCTATGGTAGTAGCTTAGTGCCTCCGAATCCACTTCAAATACTCAATTCAGTTTAGTTTCCATTTGTATCGAGCACTGAGCTTCAGAATGTCCCACTGGCTTGAGGGTCATATTTATGGCTGGAGTTTTCTTCGTTCTCCTGGTGAATCGATTTACACTATAAACTGGGTAACAGAATGCTGTTTATCAGGACAGCAAAACTGCAAGCACACAGAAACAGCTGTTCCTTCAACTTAGCATTACTAAGTAATTTTATCTGCAATAGGCACACCTACACATGGGGGAAGCATGGCATATTTACTCCCAATATGGTTATGCCTACTTTATCTAAATTTGTACGTGCAATCTTAAATATTCATTCAATCCCATTTAACTTTGATCAAATCAAGAGCATTAGATGCAACTAATTCAAACTAGTGGAAGTTTGTGAATAAGTTTGTAAAATTCTGTATTAAGCATAATTATTTTCAAATTATGTAATGTTAGGATACTGATAATATTGGGTCATTTCTAGTTTTATTCTAGGAGGGATACCTTGAAACAGGGTACCCTTTGCACTTCTTACATTAATACTTAATACACCCACACCTGGTTTTCTTCATCTCTTACATAAGCATTAATTTGCGCTCCTGACCTGCTCCTAATTTATATCCAATATTATAAACTTTTAACTTTGATAAAAAAAACATACCAGGTTTAAACCTTTAATATTTCAAGTGGCCCTCTCTTCTCGTTACGACAAGGAGATCACCAGTCTGTAGGTTGCCTCGAAGTAATGTGCGATATTGGCAAAAAAATGGTTGGCCAGACATTCATTCACAAAGACAACTGGATCAATAAAAACTATTATGTTGCAGAACTAGGTAGGCTTGTGTTTGAAAGTCACATTCTATCTCATCTCTGATCAAAGGGTGTTTTTCCCAATGGCCGAGAAGGGTGTAAAACACCAGAAGCAAGAGCAATTAAAAACAGCACTAGGTCCTTTAGCTCATACCCATTTATTAGCTAATGTCAGCTCTTGGTGTCAACTGCAGTTGCAGAGAAAACAGTAACTATTGGAGAAACTTTTAGAAGCTGTAAGGTTTGGTCCCATTGTTACTGTACCAATGTTAAATGTTCAATCCAGCTTATGTTAATTTTAGAATATTTTCTCACGTCCAGTCTATGGAGATACAATTTAAAATCTGAACTTATTGCATGTTTTTAATGTTTCTGGAAACACCGATAAGTTCAAATCAAGTAGCCTCCTCTGAAGAATAACCAAGCTGGGATAGTCACCCACACGATAGGTTAATGATGGTTGTTGCCAGCTGTGAACTATAATTTGCATTCCACAAGTCAGTGGATAGTTTACAAGAGGTTAAATCAACAAAGAAACAACTATCATTTCATCACTAAGCTAGAGGGCACTTTTTTTTAAGTCTTTAGGTATTTTGCCTTCATAGTTATTATATATAAAGCAGTATTCAAAAATCTTCCTGTATAACAAGATTTTTTCTTAAATGAACTAAATGGGCACTTTATGGTTCATCAATATTAATGGAAAGAATCCAAGTGGTCAGGGTCTCGAATTATAGAACCCTTCCTTCATGCACAAACTAAAGGAATTAAGATAAACCAGCTCGTCTTTTTTGGTGGGGGGGGGGGGGGGGGGAGAGAAGAAAGAAGACCATCCATGGCTAATAATCACTTTCAAACACACTCATTGTAATACTGAACCAGAATGCCGTACTTGCCCAAGTTAGTCATAGCGCTTATAGATTCACGATGGGAGATTATTTGTTTCAGATGAACAGACCCAAACGCTTCCAGGAAACAGCAATGGAGTTTGTTCAGACATGTTCCTGTGTAATGATCTACATGCCAACACTTTCCATTACATTCGCTCGTAGAATGGAAACAGACGACCACAGATAGAGAAGTAAACATGCAGATCTAGGCTTTCATAGATTTAAATAATGTCCATTTTTAAGTTATCTTACCTTATGTAAATTTACTTTAATTCTGAAACTGTTTCCAAATAAAAGGTCAGACTGGGGATTGCTTTTGTACCTGATGCAATTTTCAAGTAGTCCATCAAAACAAAGTGAGTTCACATATTCTATAGAATGAAAGCAACAATTGTCTTCAATGGAACTTAGCTCATTGAAACTCAAGATCTCGAGAAACATTGGTTTAACGGCAGATTGGATTGATTATATAGAAATTGCTCGAATACTTTGGTCACTTTATTTAATTTCTGGGATTCGCATGTCAATTTTCATCCCACTGAATGGTGCCTGAAGCAGAAACAAACAAACCTCCCCTTTGAAAAACACTGGAGCCAGCTTCTGTTTTGTTAAAATGGCAAGATAGGAAACGCTTTTATTATATAGAGAAGAAAAATTCTCTTCCAAAATAGAAATCTGTACAACTTTGCCACGATCAATATACATGAACTGTACAAATTTACAGCAGTTCATAATTTACCAAATATAGAAAGATGGTCAACAGAATTCACAAATAAACATTTGTGAAGTTACCCGATCACGGTATAGAAGAAACTACAGTCCGTATCCACTTCACTAAACAGTGCTAAAAATAAAGACGGCACTTTTGAAAAACCCTAGGCTAGCAATGTACAGATATAGCTATTTCATCAAAGTAGGCTGGTCAGATGTTAAAGAGACGTGTCTTTTCCATCTCTCACAGGTAGATTAACCCAAATTCATGCAAAAACAGACATTGTTAAATCAACCTAACCGAATTTTTTTTAATTGTGAAATGTTAAAATACTGTTTTGAAATACAAAGACAGCAAACAGTCTTATAGCCGTCACTTCCCCATACAGAAATGCATCAATATTTTGTTTTTTATAAAATATAGAATTTTAGATCAGAGAGAGTGCACAGGTGATAATTACTTTTAAGAGCCTGTGAGAGCGAAATCAATACTTTCTCTTTAACACTAAGAAGACCATCCAGTAATAGAAGCCCTCCCCCCAAACCAAACCGATATCCATTGCAGTGAGCCTTTGGTCCTAGCCAGACACGGTCATCATGTTGTAGGTTTTGGACGGACTCGTCCGACCGAGGCGGAATTCATCTTTACAGCTTATCCTGCTGCTGTCCACCATTTGCATGGGAGAGCTGGCGCTGAGGTGGTGGTTGCTGACGATGGGGTGAGCTTCGTACAGGACGCAGATGGAGCCGTCTTCCCCGATCCGGTAGGACACCTCGTAAGGATCAACCCAGAGAGTGAGTTCACTCGGGAGGAGGTGGTAAACCTGTTCGTTGCTCAGTCCGATGCGGTTCGCTGCCTTCCAGATGATGGGGTCCATTTTGTGGTTGATTCGGATGCATCTGTACCCGGACCCTTTGCAGGGCCTGTCGGGGAACCAGTGGTGTTTGTAATGCTCTGTGAAAAGCGAAACAAAAGAATCGTGTAATGAGCGGTCTCTCACTCCACCTCGAAAACAACAACGCTCGGATCTCAGCGGCTCCGGTTACAGAGAGAGAGAGAGGGGGGGGGGGGGAGAGGTTAGTAAACCACCACCACCCCCCCCACCCCCTCCTCGCCGCCGACTGTGTTGTAAACAAAGAGGACGGTTCACAGCCTCGCAAGGAGACCGTTAGAAGGAGAGACCGACTCGACTGTTGGGTTGGGGGCAGCAGAGCGGGAGCGCAGGAGATGTCTCGATGGCCGCTGCTGTCGGCGGTTGGTGTGTGCCATTAAAACAAAAGGGAGGTTGTTTACAGCACCTCTTCTCTCTCTCTCTCCCCCCCAACACTCCTCCTCCTCCACCGCCGCCGCGCACAGAGCTCAGCTCGGCTCGCCGGTGGGTGGGAGAAGGGGAGGGAGGGGGAGGGGAGAGAGATGATAAAACAAGCCCGAGGACAAAGAAAGAGCCCGCCATCGCCATCGCCATCGCCGCCGCCGCCAACTTCCCTCCTCGCCCTCGCGCCGCGGCCGCTCACTCACCCGCCAGCAGCTCCTGCAGCGACTGACTGAAAGTCTGCAGCTGCCGCTCGTTCATGGTGCCCGTCGTCCGGAGCAGTTTAGCGATAAATCCCACGGCCGCGGAGATCTCCAGTTTCATGCTGGCCCAGGCGCTTGAAATGTACATTGAGGAGGATAAGTTGTGTGTGTGTGTGTGCGTGTGTGTGTGGGGCGGAGGGTGTGGGGGAGGCTTCGGTGTCCGCGAGGAGCGAGACGCTGAGCGGCTCTTTTGTCGGTTATTTTCAAATGGGTCTCCGGCTCTGGACGGCCGGCGTGAGGCGGTTTGTTACCTCTGCCTGATCCTGTCCGCGTGTGTGAGCGAGCGAGCGAGCGCGGGAGGGAGGGAGGAGGTGGTGGGTGAGGTGCGGGTTGAGGACGGCCGGGTAACGGGCGGCTCTTTGTCGGGAGGGGAGTGGGAAAGGCGAGCGGATGGTCAGAGCTCGGCGACGGGGGCGGCCGCTGCTGCCAGGCACATCCTCCGGCGCTAAAATCCTTCACCGAACGGGCCGCGCCGTCCCCGCGCGACGCCCTTTATACCCGCACACGGGAAGTGACGCGCTCACAACAAAGACGGGCGCGGGACCAATTGGAAGCGCGCTGACGTGACGGCGAGCGGGATGTGAGTGACGCGACCCCCGCGTCTGTCGACGCACAATGGGGGCGGGGCGAGGAGGAGGGGGGGGGCGGTGGGCGGGGCGTGGAGAGGGGCGGGGCGCTCAGAGCAGAGCAACAACAAGCCCCAGACCAGCAACACAGAGTGACTCTCCCACCCCCCACCCCAGAGCAGAGCAGAGAGCAGCAACAACCCCCCACCACACCCCCACCCCCTACACCACCCCCCACCAAGCCCAGAGCAACAGGCAAGGCCACCCCCAACACAGCAACCACCGCCACCCCCAACACCACCCACCCACCCACCCACCCACCCAGCACCGTGCCACCCGCGCCCACACCTTCATCCGCACCCCGTGCCGGTACCACACCGCACAGGGCCACCCGCAAAGACCCCCTTTCGTTCGCAGCGCGACGCCGCGGGGCCGTCCGTCCGTCCGCGCGCGCCGCGCTCTCCCGGCCGGTCGCGCCCCTGCCGACGGTCTTCACGCCCGCAGCCCCTGCGTGCCAGCTGCCGCACCGTCAGCTGGCCGGCCGCCCCCCCCCCCCCCGTGTTTCGCCGCCCGCCGCGTCGGCGGCTCCGTGTTTTGCAACCCTTGATGTTCACAGCACTGCCACGGCCTCCCCTTCGCAGTGGTTTACTGCGACGTTCACAAGCCTTACGTTCACAACACGGTGCTGCAATGCCCACATCCATAGCGCTTTGTTGTGGATATGACTTTGGACACTGTGACTATTGGAGGGAGAAAGTGACTATTGTGGGGAGAAAGTGACTATTGTAGGGAGAAAGTAAAGGTGTTTGCAGCATTTATAACTCGGGGCAGTGGGGAGGGGGAATCACATTAATGCCTGACATCAGCAAAAGCAGTGTGGGTAAAATGGATTGGAATTTCTACCCACCATTTCATTTGGAAAGTAGACTCCACTGGAGCAATTCATACCCAGGACCTCAATAGAGGAACAGGTTGAGAGAGTTCATTAAACCGCATGAATATGTAATCTGAGGCCATTATTATTATTATTATTATTATTATTATTATTATTATCTTTAGAAAAGACTTCAGCAGAGCTTCCCAGCCAATACTTGCAAAGTTTAAATGCTTCCTTGCCCCAGATATGATTTCGCGATGTTATTGATAATAATTCAACAATAATAGTACAACAACAACAACAAGATTACATTTGCATAATGGTCCTTGTATTTGATATAACACCTCTAATGTTGAAATGTCACAAAGTGTTTCACAGGTAGTTGCTACCAAGTATAACTATGTATTTGCAGATAGGAACAGCAACAAATTTGTGCTCACCATGTCTGGAAATTCTACCCCGACATCATCATTGCGGATGATGCAGATGACTCTTTACAGATGTGATTGTTTCAAAAGTTGTATTATTTTTCTGGCTTTGTTCAAAAAATTGAAATTGATGCCATTTTTATTAATATCAGGCAAATCTACTGGTTTGATGGTTCTTGAATTTCTTAGGATTGGAATACAATATTAAATATTATAAACTGCAAGTCAGATCATATTCAATATATAATAGATACTGTGCATGTAATTTCCTTAAAGTCTGCATAAGATTATGTAGTAATAAACCTAGTGCAAGGATTTGCAAAGAAACCTAGCTCTAAATGTCATTCAATCTTGGATTTAAAATACAGATATTCTCACGAACCAGCATTATCTTAACACAAATTCCATATGGGCTAAAAGCTCTAAGCTCATTTCTGGGTTCAGATGAAGTTCATCAACAGCTCTAGTTTCACTCTCAAGCTTCAAGGCAACAGGCATCACTTAGTTTGTAGTCTTTTAACTCACAACCCAAGTATCTAGAGTTCTACATGTATTGTGCAGTTGCATGGGTGATCTGCTATTTTTGATATCATTTTCATTCTGTTATCTGTACCTTCATCATTTATTCCATTTCATGCCTTGTGATCTGTTTTATCAAATGTAATTATCCGTCCAACTGTGCTGCTTAATTAGTTCACTTAATTAACTTCAACTGATTTATATTACTCTTTTGTCATTGGTTCTATGCCACTTAAAAGAGATGCTGTTGCAGAATTATTGTTGTGTATATTATACAGTATACATATATTCAGTACACATTTAACATCAGCCTAAAATACTCGGTGGAGAAAGTCACATCTCTACAGGTGCTGGCATGAATTTATCTTTAAGTCCATATAGCAGGTCCAGGAATATTCTCCCCTTTTCTGCAGTGCAAGCAGCCTGTAAACATATTGTCTGCTGGTACCATTCCCAAAGTGTTTCAAAGGTCTGACCATGCATGAAACTGTAATTGGGACATGTTTGAGATATTGATGTAAGAATTGGATATTCTATGCGTGTCAGGCCTATATGTGTTCCTTGTGTGAGGGAAAAAAAAGTTCTGAAGTTTTTCCTCATCAGTGGATTAATCATATTAGTGCATATTTACTCCTAAATTATATATGCATATTTAGTTTTCAATTACAATAGAAGTGCATGGTTTACTAACAGCCAATGAGATCACGTGGTGACTTTTATCTCTATAATAGATAAGTCTCAAAGCACTTCACAGAATAAATTACAAAATGGATTGACTATGTATTTTGTTGGCGAAACGCGGCAGCCAATTGCACATAGCATTGACCCGTAAACAGTCATGGATTGAGTGACCAAATTATAATTTTTTAAAATTTTATTTTGAGGGCTTTATTACCCCCAGAAAGGGATCTGCCAATTGACTAACAACTGGGTTCCTACTTACTGCTAGATAAACAGAGCCGTGTGGAGTAAGGAAACTTGCCTTAGGTTTTACACCCCCCCCACCCCCCGCCTGGAATCGAACCCAGGACCTCTCACTTGTGAGGCTAGCATGATGTGCGATTCCACAAGAAAAGATTCTTTAAGAAAAGAAAACACCTACATCTTCCAGGTAAACTTCCAGGTAAATAAGGAAGTTGCTAATCTTTTAAAAAACAGAATTTGTTTTGTGATTAATTAACTTCTAATATGAATGACAAATTAGTTTTCTGATATGTGCAACTGCAAAATAAGCTCAAGGAAGTAAAACAATGGAATACAAATAGTAGTAGGCAATCAAATTGAACCTTTGGCAGTTCACTCTGTGTGGATAATGCCATAAATTTATTGGCCAGTAAATATATAACATTTCATAACTCAAAATGTTGGAAGGAAGAACATAAATGGTTATTAAATGGAAGTCTTTTGTAAATATTTATTTTACTTTAGTGTGAAATAATTTCCAAAGAACGAATGTAAAAAAATGCATTATATCATGTGACAGGAGCACTCTGGAGATTGTGGAAGGATGAGATCATGTTGACCAAACGTCTCTGTTTATCCATATCTCTCTTGCGAACAACTGAATATGCAGTGGAGTGATTGCAAGGCAGAAATTTTACATAGATTGGTTGAGTTATTGTATCAGAAATTGTGATTGAATGCATTTTGTGCCCTTAATGCAAGATGACATTCAATAAAAATGCTTTGTGCCAGCGACATTTTACTAAGAGGATTTATTGAGAAACAATCTGGAGTTGCCGATGTGGAAATGCAATGTCCAGTGCACATTTTGCATAGGTTGGCACATATGATGTCTGAATGTACCGACGTCAAAGAGTACATGATTTCCAAAAAAGGAGCAATTATGTAAAGTTTATCCCAGTGAATCACAGGCTGCACTATGCAACGAATCACATTTCAGGCTTTGTGTTCTTTGTAACATATCCTGTTGGGTTTTGTGAGGATGCTTTATTTCTGAATTATTTTTGTCACTGGTGGTGACGTGGCAGATAATGATGGACTACAGGCTCCCATAACTGGATTCCATGATCTTAACTGGCATGTAGTTGTACAGTGTTAACTGACATGGGGGTGACCTGTTGGGAGTAATGCCATTTGCCGTTTGAGACCTGGATAGTTTTAAACATTGTGGGAAAAGTTTGCAAAACAGTAACTGCTAACCAAGTGACTGTTTTACAAACTCTGGAAACCCACTTCAAAATTAAGAGCGAATTTGACAACTTTCCAGATTTCTGCACAATCTTAAATTTCAAGGCAATAGTGAAACCACAGTCCAGGGTGAAGGGGCTGGAGACTGGGACCAGAGGAGAAATATGCAAATTTGTGAGGGGTAAAAATTGGACATAGCAAAAATTTGTTTTAAAAAAAATGTCTTAAGGAGGACTTGACCTGTTGTGAATTTCCAGTTTTCCTCTTAGTTTTTTTTATAAATTTAATTTCTATTTTCCACATTTCTCCTGATATTCCTTTCCTCTGTCTTCCGCCTCTTCTTCTGGTCTATGCCTCCTCTTGCTGATTGCCCTCTGGCACCTTGCTGTAGTGACCGTTGTTTACTTGTGAGCTTTGGCAGTGAGCTTCAGCAGGCCACACAGCTGTACAGGGCATCACAGCTGAGCCTGACCACTTCTCACCCGGCCAACAGATACCTATCTGTAGAGGTTGCTGGAGAGGGAGCAGGAATCCAATTGTGGTCTTGCCAACTATAGGAAGACTGGAACCAATTTATCCTCCATAAGTAGTTCTGCTTGAGAGCAGTGCACTTAGAATGGACAAGGATTCAAACCAATGAGCCCAATCTACTACACCGCTGGAGCTGTCTGTCCCTGGAATTCAGCTTTTTCACTCAAACCTTGCAGTCGCCAAGAGCTGTCTGCAGTTTGCCAACTGCCCCATTCAAGCTGTTCTTTCTCTGCTGTTACAATGCCATCATTCTCCAAACAATCTGCTTGTCACTCATTGTACCTCTCCACCAACTCCCTAATACCATTCTTTTGAAGCCACAGACACATAAGTGCCCTTCATAGAAACAATTCTGAACTCAATGACCTCCTGAAAAACAAGATGCTACATGG